GGAGTGTCACTATTTTAAGACACAAATGCTAACAGAAAGAACATGATGGCAAATAGAGGGACTGTAGGAAGGAGCTCACTAATCACCCACTGAGCCTGCAAAAGCAAACATATCAGAATACTCCATTTCTACTGCATACAGGGGATATCAGCCTAAGAATTAACATCAATTAGGAACAGCTCCTACCGTCACTGCCCTTATCCTGCAATTGGGAAACTAATGGCACTGAGGGCCAGCAGTGCAGCCAGTAAGTCTGTGGTTAAAGCTAAAAAGGCTTAATTGGCTTAATTGTACTCAATTCTAAACTGACTAATTGTTCAAGAAAGGGCACCATTTTATACACAGAAGAAAGCATAACAATCTGAGTAACCAGGAATCTTCTAGAAGTTCAACTGGCAAAAAAAAGAAGACCTATTATTAAATGCATGTAGCAGCCTTGTATTCCCATGATACTCCCAGTTACATTCCCATGAGAACGCTGTACTGAGCCCCATATCACCATCAGTGAGCTCCTGGTACTGTCTGGAAAGGAATCAGGCTCAGAACCTGGGAGACCTCTCCCCTTCCTGAGGGCCACGAGGGATTGCTGCCAGTCACAGGCACAACTGCTCTCCCTGTTTTGGAGCACTGCACCAGAGTCTCTCTCAATGCACACTCACCTCTCTCATCCCGTATGAGGGGAGCTTCTCTCGGAATCTCTGGGGAAAAAGAAAAAATGTTTCTCTGTAAACACCTTTTCAGCACTGACGCAATAGAATGGATTTCACCTCCATTAGATTTCACCCTTTAGTTTGGGCTAAACTACAAAATAATGACAAACTGCTCAGCAACACTTGTATAAACACAGGCCCATGGGAAATAACTTGAATTCCATGTGTTGCTTCAGTTTTGTTCAATTTAGAAAAATGATTTCAGCCCAACAGTTAAGTACATGACAAGGCAGGTATATACAGGTGCAAGAGCAGGGCCTGGCATGGAAGAGAGAACTGGTGTTCAGGGAAAGACAATTTTCTGTATGTGACTGTTCAAAACAAAACCTTGTTTTCAAAAGTCCATTCCTTCAGAGCCCAGTGCTGTGCTTTCAGTTTCAGACATAACTGCAGGGACACAACCCATAAAAAAAAAAGAGAAACCCACCCAACAGAACAACATGTCAGCTTCAAATTTCAGTTCTAACTGTTTCTGAAATCTGTCATTTCCAATTTTAATTGCTCTTCTATCAATAGGTATGAATTTTATGAATTCTAGAGATAATTTTTAGCAAAAGTAACATCATGACAACTTTCTAGTAAATTACGAGGGATTACATTTTGAGGTTAGCTTAATTAAAAAAAAATCCAATTAAAAGTTTTCAACTTGACACAGGGAAAAGTACCTGCATTTCAATGTATCTGGGATCAGATCTCTTCTTCATTAAGTCTTCTTTAAGTTGCTCATCTAAATCAGCATCCTGCTCGGTTTTTTCACAGAGGAATTCCACATCCAAATCCAGGGATGTTTTTTCCCAGGTTGGTGTCTGTCTTACAGGAGCTTTCTCAGCATCTGGTTTCACTTTGGCAGGCTGTTCTGGAGCAGGGCTGGAATCACAGAACAAGAACTTCAGATTCCCCCAGCGGTGCCTGGCCACATGCAGAGTGCAGGTTCATTAACTACATCCAGCAGGTAAAGAACCAACAGTCCATGGGAACAGAGAACCGCGGAATGGTGTGGGTTGGAAGGACCTCACACCCCCCCAGTGCCAGTCCTGCCATGGCAGGGACACCTCCCACTGTCCCATGTGCTCCCAGCCCCAATGTCCAACCCAGCCTTGGGCACTGCCAGGGATCCAGGGGCAGCCACGGCTGCTCTGGGTCTGTCCCTGCAGTGAATATCATTAAACCAAAATAAAGTCTCAAACTACAAACCCCAAAAACCTGACATCAGGATCTAAGAAACAACACATTCTTTTGTACCAAATGAAGCCCCAAAGCAACAAAACATCATCAGAGAATTACTGCTAGATCCACTGCCCCGTAACTGGATCCCTCACCAAAAGGAGCCCCAGTCCCCTCGTTTCAGCACACCAGCCTATTCCAGCTATTCCCACAAATCCTTAACGACCCCAGAACAGACCCTGCGAAAATGTTCCAAGACTGCACAATAACCGAAACCAGAAGCCAAAAGCCACCTCTGGAAGAGTAATTCCAGAGGCCAAGAGAGCTGAAAAGTCCCATGCATTTACTGCAGAAGGCCTTGAGATGACTTAGAAGTTTTATGAGTTTAAGTAGAAATGTAACACCCTGAACTAAGCAATAACGAAAGAGTTTTACAGCAATGACTACAAGCATTTCAGTGTGACAATACATGTGGAGAAACTGGAGGATATTTGTTGAGCCAGTACACTCAATAAAGGTAAGTCACTTCTGACACGTCTTCCTGCCAGGTTACGGAAAGTTTGTGCAATTCAAAATAAATAAACAAACTGGTAATTATATCTCTTTACCCTTCTTCATCCCCAGACCACCAGGACATGGCTTCTTGCTCTTTGTCATTTTTAGTCTGGACAGAATTCAGCAGCTGCACGATCTGCTCTTCCCGGCGCTCATCCATGCGCACCACAGCTCTCTAGGGCAGAAAGCACAGCGTCCATCATCAGCGGGGAGCCGAGCACCCCAACAGCGGCCACAGGAGCCCTCACACACCGGCCCGCTGCTGTGCCCAGGGCTCCGGGCACCACGAACAGTGGCCACAGGAGCCCTCACACACCGGCCCGCCGCTGTGACCGGGGCTGCGAGCATCCCAACAATGGCCACAGGAGCCCTCACACACCGGCCCGCCGCTGTGCCCGGGGCTCCGAGCATCCCAACAATGGCCACAGGAGCCCTCACACACCGGCCCGCTGCTGTGCCCAGGGCTCCGAGCATCCCAACAATGGCCACAGGAGCCCTCACACACCGGCCCGCCGCTGTGCCCAGGGCTGCGAGCACCCCAACAGCGGCCACAGGAGCCCTCACACACCGGCCCGCCGCTGTGACCGGGGCTGCGAGCATCCCAACAATGGCCACAGGAGCCCTCACACACCGGCCCGCCGCTGTGCCCAGGGCTCCGGGCACGACCAACAACGGCCACAGGAGCCCTCACACACCGGCCCGCCGCTGTGCCCAGGGCTCCGAGCATCCCAACAATGGCCACAGGAGCCCTCACACACCGGCCCGCCGCTGTGACCAGGGCTCCGGGCACCACAAACAGCGGCCACAGGAGCCCTCACACACCGGCCCGCCGCTGTGCCCAGGGCTGCGAGCACCCCAACAATGGCCACAGGAGCCCTCACACACCGGCCCGCCGCTGTGCCCAGGGCTGCGAGCACCCCAACAGCGGCCACAGGAGCCCTCACACACCGGCCCGCTGCTGTGCCCAGGGCTCCGGGCACCACGAACAGTGGCCACAGGAGCCCTCACACACCGGCCCGCTGCTGTGACCGGGGCTGCGAGCATCCCAACAATGGCCACAGGAGCCCTCACACACCGGCCCGCTGCTGTGCCCAGGGCTGCGAGCATCCCAACAATGGCCACAGGAGCCCTCACACACCGGCCCGCTGCTGTGCCCAGGGCTCCGAGCATCCCAACAATGGCCACAGGAGCCCTCACACACCGGCCCGCCGCTGTGACCAGGGCTCCGGGCACCACAAACAGCGGCCACAGGAGCCCTCACACACCGGCCCGCCGCTGTGCCCAGGGCTGCGAGCACCCCAACAATGGCCACAGGAGCCCTCACACACCGGCCCGCCGCTGTGCCCAGGGCTGCGAGCACCCCAACAATGGCCACAGGAGCCCTCACACACCGGCCCGCCGCTGTGCCCAGGGCTCCGGGCACGACCGGACACCTCCGGCTCTGCCTGCGCGCAGAGGCACAGGCCGCCGCCCCAGAACGCGTCCCCGCGTCCCTCACCTGCTGCCGGTCGGCGTCCCGGTTCTTCTGGCCCTGCCTGCGGGCGTACCACATCCCGATCTCGCGGCCCTTCAGGTGGCCGGGGTGCCGTCCTCGCCCGCCGGGCCCGCCCGCCGCGGAGGAGGCTGCGGCGGCGGCAGCGGCAGCGCCGCCATCGCCGCCCCGGCCCCGGCCCCGGCCGCGACCGCGGCCCCAGTCACGGCGCTGCTCGTAGCTCATGGCCGCGGGTGCCGGCGCGGCTCAGCCCAGCCCGGCCCGGCCCGGCGCGGCCCCGCCTCATCCGCCGGCACCGCCCGCCCCATCCGCCGCCGCGCTTCCGTCCGCCCGCCCGCCCGCTGACCCGCAGCTCACGGGACGCGGGTTCGAGTCCCGGCCCGACCTGATCCACCCGCGGGACCCGGTTTGAGTCCCGGCACGACCGAACCCACCCGCCTGCCCACGGGTTCGAGTCCCCGTCCGATCGGAGCCAGCCGCCGGGCCCCGGGTCGAGTCCCCGACCGGCCGATGTGTTGCCGAATGGGGAATTTGTATCGTTTTCCTAATGTGTGATGTTCATATACTTTCAGGCCTAATCAACAGGAAGAGAGATTTAATCCGTGAAACAAAGAGCAGCCAATGAGCTTTAAGTGATGTCCAGGTGTTTGAAAAGTATTTCTAGTATTGTGTCGATTTAGATATTGACAAGGACTGCAAGTGAATCAAAACTGCTGTAACCTCCCACATGTGGAGCTGCTCCCTCCTTTCCACAGGTCCCTGCAGACACGCCACCCAGTGCCGGCAAACACCAAAGCTGGGGTTTAAGATTTTATTTCGGATTCCCTTTAGACACACGTGTGCCTCAAATAAATAGATATATAAATAAATAACTTAAAATCCACTGTGGAAAGCTGTAAAGCACTTGAGTATTTGTTATCCCCTTGATACAGCATTAACAGTTTGAATTGATTCAACAGTGCACCTAAACAAAATTTGCATGATAGGAAAAAACCAGCTGATATTGTGTTTGCTCGGGTAAGTGCCAGAAGCAGCACTGCCTGTCAGGGCAGCTGAGGTGTGCAGATCAAACCCCTGTTTCAGCCGCTGCCCGCCTCCTCCCGCTCTCGGTAGGCTTTGTTCAGCAGCTGTATCTCCTCCTGGTAGCCAGCCCTGGCCGAGTGCTGCTGCTGGCTGTTGCGCCGATGAGCCTCCACCGTGTCCGGGATGGAGATGCTGAAGTCGCTGTTGGACGGCACCAGCAGGGAGTAGGAGGCGCTTTCCCCCAGCTCGCAGCTCACGAACCGGTTCTCCCTGCGGGAGTAGCGCAGGGAGGGCGAGCGGGCGTGCGCCGAGGACTGGCTGATGCTGCTGACGATGGACACGGTGTCCAGCGCCTCGGCGGTGTCGCAGATCTCCAGCACCTCCAGGTGAATCTTAACGCTCGTGTCGGCGAAGCCGGGCTCGCCCGGGCTCGGCTCGTGCCCGACGCTCTTGGAGCGGTACACCTCGATCTTCTTGGCCGTGGGCGCGATCTGCTGCCCCTCCGAGCTCACCTCGTACGTGGACAAGGAGAGCGTTTTGCCGCCGGGAGCCTGCAGGGACACGGTGCCCTGGAAGGCGCAGAGGGGCACGGCCAGGGCTCCACCCGTGCGCTGCGGGGAAACAGCAGTGTTAGTGCTGAGATTGCCCAAAACCCGGCAGGATCAGCCTCATTGCCCAAAATCAGCACCAATCAGCCACTGTGCTGAGACTGCCCAAAACCCGGCAAGATCAGCCACTGTGCTCATTGCCCAAAATCAGCACCAATCAGCCACTGTGCTGAGATTGCCCAAAACCCGGCAAGATCAGCCACATTGCCCAAAATCAGCACCAATCAGCCGCTGTGCTGAGACTGCCCAAAACCCGGCAAGATCAGCCACTGTGCTCATTGCCCAAAATCAGCACCAATCAGCCATCGTGCTGAGATTACCCAAAAACCTCCAAAATCTCAGCCACTGTGCTGAGATTACTCAAAATCCAACACAAACCCACTGTGCTGAGATTACCCAAAATCCGGCAAAATCAGCCACTGTGCTGGCATTGCCCAAAATCCAGCACAAATCAGCCACTCTGCTCCCTTGTTAACTCCTCTTACTGCCTGCTCCTTGCAGAATTTTACACACCTAGTATCTATGATTTGAAAGAGCAGTGAAAAGTTTTTTGTGGGATTATACACCTTAGTGTATGAATTCCCAAGTGCCTGTGACTGACTGTGAAATCTACAGAATATGAAAACCAGAGTTTAAATAAAAGCTGATTCCTTCAGTGCAAGGTTATGTCCAGTTTAATCAAATTCTTTGATTTGCCAGACTGAACATGAGGCACCTGGAGGGAGAATGAGCAATCTCCCCTTGCTGGAATGAACACTCCATGTCTGGAGAATGAGAAATTTCCAATCACTTTCTGAGAGTGCCTCTTTCTGAAAGTCTTCTCAAGCTTTCTCTCGAGAAATCAGTATTTACTGTTAAAGTGAAAAGGATCCATCAAGCGTCCTCTGTCACTGCCCAGTCAGTAACCAGGGAGACACTGAATGCTGTCATTTCCCACTTGAACAGCTCCAGTGGAAATGTTCAATTCCAGACACCTTTACCTGTTTCTAAAGTACAGAATCCATTTGTCAGTGCAAACCACAATGCTGTGCTCTGGGGAGCACTGTGGACGCAAGTGCTGGGACTAAACCCATGGTTATGGGGCCCAAGGGAGGGATAAATGCATTTATCCTGGGTTTAGGTACAGCCAAGTAGCACTGATTGTTACTGGAATTACTTTCAGTATAAATTATTATTAATGAGAACAGAAAGTGACCTTTATCTTGTCCTTGATACATTATTAATTATCCTTTTTGCTTCTCATGACACATCCATGGCAGTAACAGGAGCCCACAGCAAACCAGACTCTGCTGGTACACCTTGTGAGGTATTTTGCCTCCCAGTCCCAGGGTTCCCTGCAGTTCAGTGTTTGCCTTCATCTCCCAGCCCTTTCCTCACCAAGCTCCACTGTTTGTGGAGAGGATTCCCCACGTCAGGGCATCCCCCATGCAGCCCCTGCCCACAATGCCTGGAGGGTGTCCTGGCTTTGGAATCTGGGACAGGGATTTCACCAGAGATCTCCATGTACCAGCACAGGCACTCTTCAAAAGCAGAGACCAGAAAATCCCAGTGAAATAAATCACAAATGTCCTTGTTCCCTACGGAATGCTGATGTATTCTGAGCAGAGAAATCTCTGCAAATCCCTCATTATTTAATTACACATCCACCTTCCAGAGCTCACAGAAGACAGGAAGGCAAAGCCTCCCCCAGCACCCCTGTGGGTCAGGAGCAGGCTCCTGTCCTGCTCCCGCTGCCTGAGCAGGCTCTGGGCTGCATTCCCCAGGGAGGATACTGTCCACAGGGAAGCCTTGGGTGTACCTGAGGCCCACAGCAGCTGGAACAGGCTCTGACACTCAGATTTCCATTTGGAAATGGTCAAAGCACAGCTGGGGCTGCATGGGACACTGGGACACCATCCCAGCTGGTTCTGCAGTGTCTGACAGAACCAACTGGTTCCGTCCTTGGTAGACTGTCCCTCCCAATTCCTGGTTTCCCAGGCCCTGGAAGAGCAGACAGGGGTGCCAGCAGTGCCCCAGTGAGGCACAGGTGAGGCACAGGGTGCCAGCAGTGCCCCAGTGAGGCACAGGGTGCCAGCAAAGCACAGGGTGCCAGCAGTGTCCCAGTGAGGCACAGGTGAAGCACAGGGTGCCAGCAGTGCCCCAGTGTAGTACAGGTGAGGCACAGGTGAAGCACAGGGTGCCAGCAGTGCCCCAGTGAGGCACAGGTGAAGCACAGAGTGCCAGCAGTGCCCCAGTGAGGCACAGGTGAGGCACAGGGTGCCAGCAGTGCCCCAGTGAGGCACAGGTGAGGCACAGGGTGCCAGCAGTGTCCCAGTGAAGCACAGGGTGCCAGCAGTGCCCCAGTGAGGCACAGGTGAAGCACAGGGTGCCAGCAGTGTCCCAGTGAGGCACAGGTGAAGCACAGGTGAAGCACAGGGTGCCAGCAGTGTCCCAGTGAAGCACAGGGTGCCAGCAGTGTCCCAGCAGTGCACAGGGGTGCCAGCAGTGCCCCAGTGAGGCACAGGTGAAGCACAGGTGAGGCACAGTGTGCCAGCAGTGTCCCAGCAGTGCACAGGGGTGCCAGCAGTGCCCCAGTGAGGCACAGGTCACTGGACTCTGCTGCTCCTGCCTGGGACAGGGCTCTGCACCAAGAGCACACACAGCTTGTGCCCTGTGCCTGTTGCTCCCCTGGGCCCTGCTGCCTTCCCAAACAGAAACCCAGCAATGTAAAACAGCTCTGAGCAGTTTGCATTCCTAATTACTTTGGTCAAACACATCTTGAGATGAAAAGGTCTATTTTTAGAATGTTTCCAGTAAGGATCCTGGCTTCTCCTTTCCAGAGACAATGAGTTTTCTGTTTGTTTTAAAATAGAGGCTTAGCCTTCTACTTCCCTAAGAGTGCAAATTAGCTGCAGTGAAATTAACTCTGCAATGATTTGCCTTTTTTGAGGCTGGCTGCAGTACATGCAGAGCCAGGGGGGTATGGCAGGAAGAGAGCAGCTCACCTGAGATGGGCTGAGCCCAGCACTTCCATTGCCTGTCTGGTGCAGGATTTGTATCTGTCAGTACCAGGAGGGGCACAGAGCACCAAGGTGAGGACACCTTGCAGGGAAGGGCTGTGGGAGCTCTGTCCAGCGTTGCCCCCCTGGGCACACGTCCCTGCTCTCAGCATTCCTCTGCAGCTCCAGAGAGAGCCAGAGGCCCTGGAGCTGCAGCAGGGAGCACCATGCAGGGGGCACACGCCTCTGGGGCAGGGGGAGAAGGTGAAGGGAAAGGTTCCATTGATTTTCCAGCCACAGGAACCCCGTTGGAAATCAGGAACACGTTCCAAGGAGCTGGGCAGGAAGAGCCCCGTTGGGCAGAGCTCAGCACATCAGCAGGGCTGGAAGTGCAGATTCCCACCAGCAATGGAAACCTCCAGGGCCATTCCTAACTCAGCTTCTGTGCTGTGCCTGGTGGTCAAGGGCATGTTCAGAACCCTCCTGCAGCCAGGGACATGCTGGGCATTTCCCATGTCAGACACTCCTGCCTGCACTGCTCCTCCTCAGTGAAGTCACTTGCACAGCCTTCCCCTCTCTTTCCTTGCAGGGCACAGAAATAGGCCCTGTGCAGCCTCTTCAAAGAGTTTCCTCAAGGCAATCCACAGATGAGGTAGAGAAAAATAATCAGCAAGCCTGGAACAAACTGCCAGCCTGGGAAGTTTTTGTTGCCTGAGGGCACTGAAGCATAGACAAAATAAGACATGACATATTTACACTCAATCTCTTTAGGAAGGGAGATACACGGGTATTTTATGAGATGTTAAAGGTATTTTTCAAAAATGCAGCAGAGCAGGAGTTGGACATGACAAGTACAATTTTCTCTCTCCCTCTCCATTACAGCCATCCTACCATATATTCAATATGGACCTTGCTGCCTCATTCTCTCATGCCACTTTTATTCCAGAGAAAACACTTTGATGGAGCAACTCTTTACGCACAGAACAGACAAGGAAGAGCCAAGCAGCTCCACAGTCACTGCTGTCACCCCAAGGAAGTGCCACTCTCCAGGCCCACAGCTTCCAGAGGGAGCCAAAGGCATCCTGGGTCCTGCCTGGCACCTGCTCTCAAGCATCAACCTCCATCAAACTGGCTGATCCCACATCAGTGGGGATGGCTGATGCCCTCCTGCTGTCAGCTCTTACAGCTCCTCCTCTTGATGAGAAAAAACAAGAGCCCCTGTATTTATGGACTCTCAGAAGAGCCCCTGGATTTCCTGCAGAAGGATGTGGCAAATCAATGCTGGGGGAATCTCCTTCTTTAACACATGTAGGAAATGCAGAGTGATGAGAACAGAGTGGCTTTTCTTAGACTTTGGGACTTGCAGACATGATGAATAAAGGAGATGGTTTTCAGCTCATTAATGTGTGGCCCAAATTGATCTTTCATCCAACATAAACCTGAGCAATGCATTAAAGTTATTTTTACACAGCTTGCAGGGGTTTCAGGCTCTGCCCTTTCCCAGCTGCAAAGCAAATGTCAGCTGTGAAGCTCTGGCAGCTCCTGCTGAATGTCAGAAGCAGGCAGAGCTGTGACTGCAAAGCCTGGAGCTCTTACCCACAGGAGCTTCAGTGCCTGGCTGTGGGTGATACCTGGGAAGGTGTCAGAAGTGCATGAGTTGTGATTGTTTATAATGCAAGAAGGGAAGAGTATGTCCAAAAGGGCCATACAAGGCCCCAGGGCACATAAAACACCCCCAGGCAGCCGCTGCCAGCTGCTCACACAGAGCTGCTCACACAGAGCTGCTCACACAGAGCTGCTCACACCTGCTGCAGTCCCAAGGCTGCAGCTGAACTGGCACCAGGGCACATGGGGAAAGGAATTTTGGGTTTTTTCTAAACATCATCTGTAAAGTCCTGCAAGGAGTTATGAACCTGATCCAGTGATTTTATTAACCAAGCTGTACATGGCACATGAGGCCTTGGCAAGAACTGGTAGATTAAAACCAGGCTGAGTCATCACTCCCTTTTGCCCCCAAGTGCAGGAATTCATCTCTGCACACTGCAAGAGCATGAGCATTGGTTTTTTATGAAAGGGATGATCAGTGCCATTTGAAACATCAGCCAAATTCCTACTGTGACTCAGATGATAAACTTGTGTTTATCAGATGGAGAGAGAAGCCCATATTTGAATAGAAAATACACCTTATCCATCTCCTATGCATGTGCAGAGGCTGAGCACGAGCTGATCTGGCCCTGAAATCATCCTGCTTGGAGCAGGTGACTCCCAGAGAGCCCTTCCTAATGAGGCCTTCCAGAGCTCCTGTCTCACAGGCTTCACCTGGGCTCTTACCCCACTCCCACCTGCTGCAATGCCCAATGGCCACTGAATTCCACAGGAGAATTCTCAGGAAAATGTCAGCTTTTGGAGAGAAACTTCCTATTCATTAAGATAAAGTAACATCATTCATACTTACTTCTTACCATATACAAACCATGCAGGTGCACACAAAAATAAGAAAACCCCACAAATAAGAAGACAAGTGAGAAATTATTGCAGGATCAACACCTGCAAATATGTCTGTGGTGACTGAACATTATTCAATGCCACGTATGAGTTTTACTAAATAAAAATGGGAGTCATAGAAGTATCACAGTCAGTGAGACTCATTCCCATTTCATAAGGAAACTCTTAGTACCAGCAGAGAACAGATTGCTCCTTTACCTGCCGAGGGTTCCTCTCGGACCTGCTCCGGCACCACTCCCAGTCTGAGAGCTCGGGCGCGTGGCTCTCCTGGTGGCACAGCCTCCACTCTGCTCCCTCAGGGAATGGGGCAGGGCTGCTGTCCTGCTGCTGCTGGCAGGGCCCTGGGCCAGCCCTGGCACCTTGGGGGCCGTGTCCCGGTGCCCCCGGCCCTGTCTGTCCCAGGCTGTCCCTGCCTCTGCCCGGCTCCCCGCAGGCAGAGCCCACCAGGCTGGGGTGGGACGAGGCTCTGCCGTCCCTGCTGGCCTGGGGAGGGCTCTCCAGGGATATCCTGTAGATGCCACAGCCCTGCTGGAACGACAGGTCGAACTCAAAACCGCCACGCTGGGCTAGGCAGGAAGGAAAGGAACTGTGTTAGGAGTTGGGACCAAAAAGAAAAATGAGGTTACAAACACAATGCAAATGGCATGCTAAAACATGGAATAAATTATCCAGCTCCTGCTGGAAACAGGCAATTTTCCTTCCATTAAAAAAAGGAGTTGTTGAGAAGAAAGACTTGTGAGAAGGAGCTGCCTTCTAGATGAACTGCAGTTGTTCTCTGTGGGAAAGTGGCTAGAAGGGCAGCAGGGGCAGCACAAGCCATTCTGCACCTGGATGGTGTTTAAAGCAAGTGAAAGCCATGCACTGAGGCTTTTCTCTAACATTCAGGAGTTCTTTCTCCCTGAACAAGCAGGGAACGTCAGGAATTCGTCCACTGATGGTAGAGGATTTTCACTCCAGAGAATGGGAAACAACTCCCACATCCTCAGAAATATTTAGCCCTTAACATTTGCAGTTGAGACCAGATGATCCCCGTGAGCCTCTTCCACCTGACCCCCTCTGTTCCTCCAGCTATTTTTACACAAAGCCCAAGCAAAAACAGGGCTCTAGAAGATGCCAAGAAGGTTCCCAGGGCAGGTGTGGCTACCTCTGTCACACCAGGAACCCTTCCACACTTACTTTTGGCCCCTGGTGAAGACACTGCATAGGAGCTCCTCCTGCAGTTGATGACGCAGCCGCAGGGCAGGTGGAGCCAGTGCTGGGACAGCACAAACACGGGGGTGACTGCAGCAGCCAGCATGGTCAGCAGCAAGCTCAGAGCCTCAAAGGAAAGGCTCTGCAGCCCAGCAGCGTACTGGACAGCCATTTGTACCTGAAAGGCAGAGCATTTGCAAATGTAAATCACTTTGGGCGCAGGAGATGCTTCCAGGACCAAGGAGAACATCTCGCTGTGGATATGACACCACTGTAGGACACAGACTGTCATTAGTGTTGGCTGAGGACAGCTTCTGGCTCCAACAGGCAGCAAACACACTGACTGCTCTCCTCTCACGCTGCATTTCTCAGAAAAACCCTCACTGAAGCTAAATGTAGATGCTGAGCACCAGTGAGCAGCTGCCAGTGCCAGCCAGTCCCGTGTGGCACCGAGGAGCCCCAGCCTCACACATGCCCCATGTTCCCTGCTCCCAGCAGATCCCTTTCTCAGTTCCTGTCCCCAAACACACACACACGCCCACAGCAGCGCTCCCTGCCGCCCCAGCACTACAGCGTTTACAAAGGTGCCACCAAACTGCATTTTCCTGCCAAACTCCTCTTTTTTAACCCAAAGGATGCATCTCAGAGGACAGGACAGAGGGGCCCTTAGCTCAATTCCCAGCCCCAGAATGCTGAGCAAGCCCTGTCCCACAGCTGGCAGTACCCAAGGGGGACCTTACTGCCCGGTGTTCCCATGACATGAATGATGTGATGGGAGAGCGTCAGAGCCATGAACCAGGCTCTGCCAAACACACTGGGCTCCAGTGAAACTCATGCAGTGACACAGACCTGCTGGAGAGGACTTCTGCTGGCTCAACTACCCTACGAGGAACAGCTGCAATGGCCACTGTTCGTCTGTTCCAATCCATGGCCCACAGGTGACGTCCCATGAAATGTAAGTGAGCATTGGAAAGTGAAGCCATCTGAGAATTTACCATCATCGGCAGCCAGAGAAGGACTTTGGTCAGTGCCAGGATCAGCGAGAATCGTTTCTGGGCCAAGCCCACCGTGGAGCTCCAGCTCCGTGCGCTGCTCTCAGCCGCACCCTTCCCCAACAGCGCCTCCGAGGCCGGGCGAGGCTCCCGGGGTCTGTCCCCCGGGGCCGGCAGCGGCAGCGGAGGGGCCCCGCAGCCCCACGGAGCCCCAGGGCAGCTGCAGCCCCCGGAGCCCCGCTCGGTGTGCAGCAGCTGGGGCTCCCCCGAGCACAGCAGCTGCAGCGAGACGGGAACGGCCAGCACGGCCAGGAGGGAGAAGCACAGCGAGTACACAACCAACACCAACAGGATGTAGGAGCTGGCACAGTCGGCAAAGCAGCCCCAGGACGTGGGGATGTACCTGCCCCAGCCACAGAGAGGCAAAGCGCACAGCAGCAGGCTGGCAGTCCAGATGCTGAGGATGGCCCATACCACACTCACACGGCGCTTGGAGGAGCTGCAGCTCAGTGTCCCGGGCGTGTTGAGGGTGTAGAAGTTGTAAGAAACTAAAAGAGACCCTTTCAGGTTGCTAGAAATGCCCTGGAATAAGTACAAAAACGCTGAGGTGGTGCACAGAGGCTGGGGCAGGACTTCGCTTGACCACTGCATGAGCATGAAAATAATCACTGGCACGATGCTGATCAGATCATCTGCTGCCAAAGAGGTCACAATCATTGAAATCGTGCTCTTGGTCTGCAGTTTCAGCAGGGAAACTAGTGAATAAATGCTGCCCAGAAGGGCTGGGAGTGCAATGGCAAAAGTCAAGCAGAACAGAAAGACATTCCAAGTTCTCTGCTCACTGGGCTTGTCCACAATGCTGTGATGCTCAGTCGAGAAGCTCGTCCCATTGAGTGACAAATTACCAGGAGTCACCGACGTTGTCCTGGGCATTTTGTCCTTTGCCTTCTCACTGATTCTGCAAGTTGTCACCAGCTGAAACCAGAACTGTCAGCTCCACATCACAAGTTTCTTTGTTTTCCTAGACTCTCTTCTGTGGCATCTGATGAGGAAATATTCCGGTGGCAGCACCCCTAATGACCAGAACTCATGCTCAAAAAGCCAGGCAACAATGAAGGTGCTGAAAAAAATTTGATTCTTCAAAATCGTTTCGGTGCTGTCAGGTGGTGAACTGGGGCTGCTCGGGTGTCCCTGTGCCGGATGGCAGGCACTGCCCCACTGCCGAGCGCGGCTGCGGCGGGCAGAGCACGGCCCTGCCGGGGCTGGGGCAGCCAGAGCAGCATCGGGAGAGGCTGCGGGAGCTGCGGCGGGAGGAGCGGAGCCGGCAGGAGGGAGCGGGAGAGGAGCGGTGCCAGCAGGATGGAGCGGGAGAGGAGCGGAGCCCGCAGGATGGAGCGGGAGAGGAGCGGTGCCAGCAGGATGGAGCGGGAGAGGAGCGGTGCCAGCAGGATGGAGCGGGAGCAGCCGTGCCCGCAGGATGGAGCGGGAGAGGAGCGATGACCGCAGGAGGGAGCGGGCAGCAGGGACGCTGCCAGCCCGGCCCCTCCCGGCTGAGCGGCAGCATCAGCGGCCCCGCCAAGCCACACCTCCGCCGAGCGCTGCCGGCTGATGGCAGCCCGGGATGGCAGCCCAGGGTGTAAGCCCGGGATATTAGCCCCGGATGGCAGCCTGGGATATCAGCCTAGCATATCAGCCCAGGATGTCAGCCCAGGGTGTCCCTGCCGGCAGTGCCCAGCGGCTCCGCGCTCGCACCCCGCCCGCAGTGCCCGTGCTCCCTGGGGCAGGATGGGCGGATGCAGGACGGGCTCTGCTCTCCCTGCGGCATTCCCACTCCCGCTCGGACACACGGCTGCTCCCGGACACCGTTCGGGGACGGCAGGGAGCTGTGGCACTGAGGCAGCACGCTGGCATCTGCCCCTGGCCGCTCTGAAAGCCTTCATTCCTCGCACCACCCCACCCCGAGCCTCATCAGGCACTGAGAAACTGCCCTGCTGTGCCCTCAGCCGTCACAGGCACCTGGCCCGACTGCAGGGAGCAAGGAACTCCCGCAGGGTCCCTCAGATCCTCCTCCTCCCCCGTGTCCCTGCCCTGCTTCCTTCCTCTGCCTCCCTGCAGCTCTCGGCGCAGGGAACCCTACCCCTAACCCGTCCTGTGCCCCCGTTTGTGTTTGCAAGGGAATGTTCATCAGTGCTCTTGGGAAGAAAGGCACTTTTATTGCCTTGCTCGTTCAAGGCAGGTGACTTATTACTTCAGTTTGTCTTCTCACACAGCGTGTCTGTGATCTGAACTGCACCTTGCTACTCCCTGTGGCAGCTTTTATCATAGCTTACAACATGGTGGGATTTCCTCCAGTTATCACTGCGCCCTGTGTCCCGGTTTTTCTAAGGAGACAGGGAGAGTGGAATGGCACAGAAAGGCACGGGCAGTGGTGGTGCAGCGGCCTGGAGGCAGGAGGAGGCACCCCTGTGTGTGTGGGGCACCCCAGGGCAGTGCCAGGCAGGCAGGGAGCTGCAGGCTCCTCAGTGCCTGTTCTCTCCTTCCCTGCCACCCCTGGAACATCCCAATGCCAGAGCTGTCCTTCACTGCTCCTGGATTTATTCCTTATCCTGCTGTGAATCCTCCCTGCTCAGGAATGGTCCCAAAGAGAAGATCCATCGAGATGGGACCTCCCCTCTGGCCCCCCTTCACCCAGAGCCCAGCAGGCTGGGAGTGCAGCTCATGGGGCAGCAGGAGGCAGGTGAGTGATTCTGGGCTTGCTGTGGTGCTGCAGCCGCAGGGAACACCTGAAACCCAGAGTGTCAGGGAGGTCACACCTGGCCCTGAGCAAACCCAGCCATGCCACACTGCTCAGGAGCCACTCCTGCTGGGGAGGCTCCCAAATGTCCCTGGCACGTGGGAGAAAAGCCAGTGCTGTGCAGTCTGCAACACCACACCACTGTGGGAAACTGCACAGGGAGGGTTAAACAGAGAACCCAAACTGCTGAGGAAACAGTGATCCCTTTCTGAAGGGAGGGAATAAAATAGAAGAGGGCATATGCTTGGAGTGACCCAGCTGTGACCCCATCTGGAAGCAGCAGAAAATCGGCTGTGTACATGGGACTTTCTCCAATAAAGATAAAATTAATGGCTGCAAGAGCCATGTGTAAAGCTGCACATTTCCCTGCCTGCTGTGCATTCCCAGGAGCTCTGCTGTGGGTTGTCTCAGCCCCTCATTGCTCCATCTTTACTTCCCCATCACCATCTCTCCCACCCAGCTCCAAGGGAGGCAGAGGAAGCACATTGGGAAATTCAGCCCCAGGAGTTGTGATCAAATTGAGTTTTAATGACAGATTGAAAGCTCTGGAACCAAATTCTGCCTCTAGAGAACCAGGAGCTTGTGTAAGAAGAGTGCTGGTTAGCACTGCTCTTACCTACACCCTGCATTTGATGGGGAACCTTCAGCCCAGGCTCCAGGGCTGCCACCCGCTGTAGTTGCTGGGAATCTGTGCCTTGGGAAGTGCCCTGGCAGGGTCAGGATCCTCGTGTGTCTGAGGAGGGGATGCTCAGGGCAGGAACACCTGACAAGGCAGAGCTCTGCACCCTGATCAGGCGGTGTCACATTGGGAGCGTGTGGAATACTGAAAGATCCATCCAGAAAGGAAGTGCAGGGCTATGCCTCTGACAGCAACTATTTATTAATGGTTCCAGTCAAGAGAAAGAACTCATGAATATTTTAATGAGATTGTGAGGGGAAACGTCCCAAAGATGATAAAATCACACTTAGCAAACAGCCTTGCAGCTGCAGGGACAGTTCCAGCCTCTCTGATGTGTGCTTTCTGAGACTCAGATGGTGACAGACTGCAGGAGCCAGGCTGAGTGCCAGCCCAGGCTGGACAGAGCGTGGCAGCATGGAAAGCCCTGCCACAAACCCCTTCCTCCATCAGCCTAGATGGAAACCATGGCTCACTGCCCCAGAGATGAAGCTTTCAGAGAAAGATAAAAGAAATCATGCTTGAGAAGAAGGCAGAGTGTTTTCAAACACTGAATCTTTTCAATTCATGTGTTCATCTTATTCCTGGGGCTGGTGACAAGCTGGGCTCTGTGTGCACAGGGAAGTGGAGTCCCTCAGTGTCACAGCTGGTAAAGCAGTGTCCCCATCCCTGGGACAGCCGGTCCCCTCCTCCTGGGGACACCCAGCCCCTCCTGGAGCATCACCTGGGGACAGGCAGGGCCTGAGAGCTCTGCCCTGCCCAGACAGGGCAGGGAGCAGCTCTGGCAGCAGAGAGCTCTGTGTGCTCTGCCAGAGCATCAGGGGGGTGGCACAGGCAGGATGGACAGAGAGCAGAGATCTCTGGGGCCAGCTCTGGAACTTGGGGTTATTGCAAAGGGCCTGGGGCAGGGCCCTGCTGGGGGCTGCCAGGCACAGCTGGAGCAGGACTGAGACAGAGAGAGAGATAAAGAGAGTGGGAAAGAGGATGAGAGAGCAGGGCTCTCATTACAATACAATACATCTTCTTCTGGTTGTGGAGCTTGGGGTTATTGCAAAGGGCCTGGGTGCTGGGCCCTGCTGGGAGCTGCCAGCCACAGCTCAGAGCAGGACTGAGAGAAGAGAGGGGAGAGAGGATGAGAGGGTGAGAGAGTAAAAAAGGCAAGAGAGCCAAAGCATAAGAGAGTAAAAAAGGCAAGAGAGTAAGAGGGGCAAGAGCTAAGAGAGCAAGGTTCCTGTTCCAATACAATAAATCTTCTTCTGTGCTGAATATTCTGATTCTCACTGACCAATCTAGTACAATATACAAATCCTACAGCATTTCCATACAGCCTATAAGAATCACTACATTACCATACTGTGTTACATTTTAAACCCTAAAAACTCCTCTTTGGGCCCCTTCTGCCAAGCTAGTAGGGTCTGCTCTGCCCCTTGGGCCTGTCTGCAAGCAGAGGGTGTTGTTCCATCAAAAGGGGATCACCTTCAGCAGCCACACCATTGTTTTCCAGTTGTTCAGTAACTGAGGGATCTCAAAGCTGCTTTCATTTCAAGCTCACTGATAGTTTCCACATTCTCAAATCTTTTGCCAGACAATCACATTGATCAGGCTTTCCTGTTCCCTCTTCCCCAGCGTCGCTCCCCGCACCGCGGCTGCTGCTCTGGTTTATTTTATCCAACATTTCCACAGCCATGAGCGAGCAGGGCTCCCTCTAGGCTGGGTTCATGCAGAGCCAGCCTGGCCAGTGCTCAGAGAGCTGAGGATCAGCAGCCCCTTACACAGCGTTTGCTTTGCAGAACATGTACTTATGCAATATGCATGTGCTCAGAGGTGATTAGGATGCAATTCCTCATTTTGATTAAAATGCTGCTTCCTTTGTGTTTACTGAGCTTCACAAAACAGCCTGATTTGTATGCTCACATAGTATTTTTGTGAGGTTTTTTTACAAACTAAATTTAACTTCACTGCTATATGAGCAAAAATGAATGCAAATATGCAACTTTCTTTAGCTTACAGTTGTTAACCTGAGAGATAAAGTGTTAAGTCCAAGCCCAAAATGATGGCTTTACTTCTGGAGTGGGGTGCTGGAGTGCTGGCATTATTTTTAATCACCAGGAACCCTTTTTTCCCCAGGATTACATGCCCAGATGCTGCCAGATGCCTTGGGCCTGGAAAAACAGGTTACTGTTAGACCCTGAGCCTAAATTGGAGAATCCCATCAAAAGCCTTTACTGCTGGAATTCCTGAAGTTGTTAGGATCTGCAAAAAATTTCCTGGTCTGGAGAAAATTGAAACTCATTTGGAGCAAGCTGCATTAGATGGCAAAATGGGCCTTTCTTTCTCACAAATGGCAGAAAACAAGCCCTAGAGGACAGAAAAGAGATTTATGTCATAGGGAGAGGTACAGTAATTTTGTTTTCCTGTCCATTTTACCTTTATTACAGATTTTGTATTATTCACCCCTGTGCC